GGGGTGGCCAAACATCCCCCTCACTTCTAAAAATCAAACTGCAAGAGGGAAGAAAGTTGGGGTCACGCCGTACGCCAAATCTGTGCACATGTGTGTGCGTGTGGGTGTGCATGTCCTTTTGTTTTTGTGGGTGTGCATGTCCTAATTGTGTCCAGTCTCATTTCTGAAGGGCCCCTACAGCGAATTGGCAAGGACCCCTCGTGGAGCAGAGATAGACTTTAGACTTCCAGTTTGTATGAGTGGGACGATAATATATAGTCTGGATTCAAATTCAGGTCTGTGCATCATGGCTATTGGTCACAAATTCAGGACTTCAGACTTCAAGTACAGTGTGGGCCAAAGGGCCTCTCTCTACTACTCACCACATGCACAAAAGACATGCCATATGGTGGGGTATGGTTCCATGTTTTAGCAGAAGATTCATTCTAATGTTATACATTTTGGTGAGTACCACTGATTCACTGAATGGTGGAGCTAGGCCCTGAGAATCACGTGGAGACACGAACAGGCTCTAGCTGAATTGGTGGTGACCCATAACTCCCGAGCTACAGACCTGAGAGTACCAGTGAATGGTGGAGCTAGGCCCTGAGAATCACGTGGAGACACGAACAGGCTCTAGCTGAATTGGTGGTGACCCATAACTCCCGAGCTACAGACCTGAACTCACACCCACAGACTATATTGGTCGTCTGCTCCCACCTCTCCCATATATGACGCGGCCATCCTGCTGGCTGAAGCGATGGTACTCAATGCCTCCACAATGTCCCTAGTGCATTGTCGGAGCCATTTGAGTTACCTGCAGGGTACTCAATCCCCCCTTCGCTGTCAGCAATCTGGAGTTTACTGCGCACTATGAACTGAATTACAGTCAATCCACAGGTCAAGGGGCAGGCGCCCCAGTTGTGCTATGCTATGTTCATGCGAAGAAGCACGAACCTGATCATATTTACGACCAGGTTCGTGCTCGCAAAAGTTGAACATGGTGAACATAGCACCAGGTGTGCGCTTGCCATGGAGACTTCAATTGCTTTGTCGAGCAAAAATCACCCCCAAGGGCCAGGGGACTTCTTCTTCTTCTTCTTCTTCTTCTTTCTTTTTTTTTATATAAAGAAAAAGCAAGGCCCCTTTTATTCGGGGGGGGGAGCATCAGTCCGATCATTTATTCCGGGGGGGGGGCATCAGTCCGATCACTCATCACCGGCAAGCATGTTCCTCCCTCAGCTCGGAAGGGGGGAAAGAGGAAAGACCAAGGGGGTCAGCCTTGCCCTTGCAGCACTACCCACCTGATCAATGGGGAGGCTGCTACAGAGTGTCTCACCCCCCAAACCATGCCCCTTCTTCAGGGTTTCCCCTGCTGGTCGGGACGCTTACTGACAGCACCCAGGCACACAGCAGGGGAGGGCCAGGCGATTTCCAAGGGCATCGTTTTTGTTTTCCAGACCATTTCTCGATTTATGCATGTCATCCTTGCGCGGACGGCATCCGTTAAGACTTCAAAGGCCATCTCACCTGTCCGGATGACCAGATCGAGGTGCACGAGTATGGGGGTTCCTGTCTGGATAAAATCCCACGACCATCTGACCCATGCGGGTGTCCAGGTTCGCACACTGGAGTACAGATTCCTGTCCAGATAAAAGCACAAAGGTTGGATTCGTGCTGCCATTGTTGCACAGAGGCCATGCCGATCTTCTTCTCTGTATTGTTTCAAATTTTAACGGATGTCCCAAAATTTCAAATTTTCAAGAAATTAAAAAGAGGCTGGTGACATCCCTTGGGAGATCTGTTAAAATTGGAACGATATAAAGAAGATTAGCATGGCCCCTGCGTAAGGATGGCGCACATAAATCGAGAAATGTTGTAAATTTTTCAAAAACCCAGAGGAG